TTAAAATATTTTATTTATTATTTTTATGTTATGTGTATGAGTGTTTTCCTGCATGTATGTAAGTGCACCCGTGTCATGCAAAGCCCGTAGAGGACAGAAGAGGCTGTCGGATTCCCTGGAACTGGAGTTACATGGACAGTTGTTAGCTGCCATGTGGGTGCTGGGATTCGAACCTGGGTCTTCTGCAAGAACAGTCAGTGTTCTTAACCGCTGAGCCATCTCTCCAGCCCCCAACCTGAATTCTTTTTTAAAACAAAGTCTCATCTTACAGCCCAGGCTGTTCTAGATCTCACTATGTAGCCCAGGCTGGCCTCAAACTCATGGTGAGCCTCTCACCTCAGCCTCCCCAGTGCTGGGATTACAAGCATACACTATCAAATTCAGCTTCTAAATCTATTATAATCAGCAACTGTGTATAAAATGTCTAAGACATACAAAAAATATACACCTTAACTTGGTTTCAAAACTGTAATTACCAAAAAAGAAAAAAGATAAAAGTCTTGGGCTGGTAAGATGGCTCAGTGGGTAAAGGCACTTGCTGCCAAGCCTGATGAACCTGGGTTCAATCCCTGGGATCCACATGGTAGAGGGAGAGAACCAACTCTCAAAGGTTGTCTTTGACCTCTGCACCTGTGTGCAAACACATATACACACCACAAGTCTGACAGAGAATCTTAGACTAATATAATTATACCAGTAATTTTGCTCTAGTCAAAGCAACTGTCCAAAATTTAACTCCAAGAAGGCTGCACATGTTTGAAATTACATATATAAGATCCTTATTTCTCAGATAGCTCAGCAAAATTCTACTGATACAGCAAAACACTTGCTTGATTTTTCAAAACTCATAGGCAGAATCCAAGTTCGTTCTTCTTTTCACCAGAGTTCTCCTCGTTCAAAGTTAACAGGACACAATCATTTTGGTTAAAATACACATAGGAAAATATGATGAACATTTTCTGGGGATGTAGCCCAGTGGCAGAGTGCTTGTCTAGCATGTGCAAGGCCCTCAGTTCAATTCTAAGCACCACAAAAAAGAAAAAAGGCAGCACGGTAAAGAGCGGGGCAGCGGTGCACCCTGGGGTGCAGCCCCTTGAGAAGGTTCACTTCAGCCCCAAAGCTTGCGACCTGAGCAACAACTGTGAAACCATGTCTCAAAAGCCATATGGCCAGGTCTTAACTGTAAAAGACACACACGGAGTTTTTGGGGAAGCATAAGCTGTGTTCTGATTTCTAGCATTTTCATTAGATATTCTTATAAACACACTTTGATCAGTATAGATTGCTATTAGAAAAGTGGCAAAGGACAGTGTGCTAACCCTTGATAATGATGTCATCAGTCAGTAAAGCAAGATTTGCAGCTTGATATTCTCCTGGGAAAATAACAACTATGTCTCCACTGTAGCAATTATCCAAAGCCAAATTCAAATCATCGTGTTGCTGGAGGAGTGTGTCTGAAGACAAGTTCTTTACCTAAAAAGAAGGAAGCAGTGTCCCAACACCATGTCATTTTAATCACATTACTGCATTTTAATTTTTATATTTTAATTATTATTTTTATTTTATGTGTATAATGCCTGTATGTTTGCAAGTGTATCTGTGTTGTACAATGCCCGTAGAGGTCAGAAGAGGGTGTTAGATGCTCTGGAACTGGAGTTACAGTTGTTAACTGTCATGTGGGTGCTGTGAACTGAACCTGGGTCTTCTGCAAGAGCTGTCAGTGCTCTTAACCACTGAGCCAGCTGTCCAGCCTGTTAATCGGATTCTTAATGGACATGTGATTTTCCCAAGAGACTTACCTACAGAGCATATATTCATTAGGTAATGGATATCATTCTATCAACTAAAGAAACAAAAATTTCTTTGTAGTGCTTGATTTTGCATCTACTGGGTATAGATGCCATTTTGAATATTCTGTATTACCTCCTAAGCAGTGACAGCAAATGAATGCCCCAAAGCCAGAGGAGTGGTGGAATCAAGTCTTGGATACAGGGTCAGGTGATGCTGGACCCTGTGATCTTTCCTGCATATTAACTAAGTTATCTACTCACCCTCCTCCTTCCCCTCTTCCCTTTCTCCTTTTCCTCCTCCTCCCTTTCCTGCTCCATTCCCTCCTCCTTTCCTTCATCTTTACCAATGCCCCCCAACAGTCTCCCTAAGTACCCCATGTTGTCCTGGAACATGATATCCCATCTTATGCTGGATCACAGGCATGTGCCACCGTGCCTAGTTCTGCCTTGTTTTCTTTCTAACATATAACTATTTGCTTAGTGTTCTGGGGGCATGCATGTAAGGTCAGAGGACAATTCGTGGGAGTTGTTTCTCTCCTTCCACCTTGTGGGTTCCAGAGAGCAAACTCAGGTTGTCAGGCTTGGCAGCAAGCACCCTCAGCCCACTGAGCCATCTCACCTGCCCTACCTTACTATCTTTAACTCAGACTGACCTTCCAATTGTTGGAAATTAACAAAAATTGACAGATTCTGGAATTACAGACAAAAAGTACCAAAGATTTGTATTGGGAATAGAGAAGAAACTTCGTATTATCATGAAAAATAATGAACTATATTTATTTAAGTTTTTTGAGATAGGATCTTGCTGTGTAGCTCAGCTGGCCTTGAACTCTCAATCTTCCTTTCTAGGTCTTTCAAGTGCTGAGATTACAGATGTACTACCAGGCCCAGCTATAATGAACTTCAAATACAGACTTTTGAAACTAAAAATATATTATTATGAAAAAAAGGCCTTTTGACATGACTGGCATATCTTGTTTCTTACAATAAAAGTGATACTTATGCTATAAAATATAAACATTTGAAGAAAGAAAATTAATTTGTACCATTTTCTATTGAAATAAACCCATGTGTGTACACATTCCCTTCTAGTGTTTTCTCATGTGCCTGTTTGTTTACCAACACACCCTGTATTGCACATACAGTTTTGAAGTCTGGCTTTTCTTTTTTTTTTTTAACTTTAAAAAAAAACTTTACTGAGAATTTCATACATGCATATAAGGTATTTTGATCAGATCCACGCCCACTCTCTCCCCTCCAACTCCTCCCATATCTCCCCATCACTTTTTTCTGATAACTTCATGTACTCTTTTTTTTAAAAATGGGGCTTTTTGCTACACTAACATTACCCCTCTGAAGAGGTAATGCTAAAATCTTTTAGGGATTAGATAGGCACTCCCAAATACTTCTGTCATTTTTGGCCTTTGGGACAGAGTATCTTGCTAAGAGGCCCAAGGACATTTTGACTTTTAGCCAAGAAAGTGGCTACTTTTTTGTGGTCTTTTTCTTTTCTTTTTTTTTTTTTTGTCTTTTTGAGACAGGGTCCCCCTGTAGTCCCAGCTGACCTGAACTCACTATGTAGACCAGGCTGGCCTTGAACTCAGAGATCCACCTGCCTCTGCCTCCCAAGTGCTGGGATTAAAGGCGTGCACCACCACACCCGGCTTACCCTAACTGCCTGGTCAATTCCTACCTCCTAGTCTTATCACACCATCCTCTGAAGAGGTTACCCAAACTGCTGATAGGGAATCGGGACACAGACAGCTCTGGCTTCTTCCATGCTGAACAGGGACGCAGGGTGAGGCCACTGGGGTACCCCTTCAGTGGGTCTATCTAAGGGACTCCCAAATTGCATAACTCTTATCACCACGTGGAGGCAGGATCCAGGTGCTCTCAGGCAGTCCTCTGCATTCTCAGCACCTATGCCAAAGGGAGGCCAGAGCCCAGCACTCTCTGGTGGTCTACTGAGACCACCTGGCTTTTCTTTTCAGTACTGGGAATTGAATCCAGGGTTTCCCCTGTGCTAGACAAGTGCTCTCTACCATCAAGCTGTGCCCCCAGCTCTCTTTTTATTCTTTTTTTTTTTTTTGGCCTTTTTGAGACAGGGTTTCCCTGTAGCCCCAGTTGGTGGCCTGGAACTTGCTGTGTAGACCAGGCTGACAGAGATCCACATGCCTCTGCCTCCCAAGTGCTGGGATTAAAGATGTGTGCCACCACATCTGGCCTCTCTTTTTATTCTTTACTTTGAACCAGGGTCTTACTGAGTCGCCCAGGCTGGTCTGAAATTCCCTTGGTATCCCAAGCAGACCTTGAACTTGCAGACTTCCCACTTCTTCCTCAGCCTTCTGAATAGTTGGGATGACAGTCCTATGCCAACTGACCTGACCAGATATTTTTTCAAAGCCAATTTCCAGCGGTTATATATTATATTGTAGACATGTTTTATTTTCCAATGCATACATATGATTTATAACTTCAGTATTATGAAATTGCTGGAATAAATCATCATCATCATCATCATCATTAGTAGTAGTAGTGGTAATAGTAGCAATAGTAGTAGTAGTAGTAGTAGTAGTAGTAGTAGTAGTAGTAGCAGTATTTGGTTCTTTTTGAGACAGGTTCTCACTCACTATACAGCCCTGGCTGGCCTGGAACTTTCTATTTAGACAAGGCTGGCCTTGAACTCAGAGAGATATGCCTGTCTCTGTCTCCCAACTACTGGGATTAAAGGCAAGCGCCACCATGCTTAACTACAACCAATAAATCTTTTTTTTTTAGATTTGTTTTTATTAAATTTTGATGTATTTCATACAGAATGTCTCAAACAATCTGAATCATCTTTATAGCCCCGTCCCCACCAGCGCCCTCCCATAGCCCCCCCCACTGGAATCCATATACTCTGTCCTGGGTGTTAAGGCCCACTGTGTCAAGTCAGCATCCCCAGATGTTCCCCAGTGCAAGTCCATCCACGTACAGTCTAGTCAGATCCCTCTCATCTATCTATCTATCCAAACACCTATCATTTTCTTTTTTTTTTCTTTTCCTTTTTTTTTCATGGAAGCCAAAGAAAGTTTATTTTTTTTTACATTTTATGTGTATGAGTGTTATGCTTGCATGTATGCAAGTGCATCTGTGTCATGTAGTACCCTCAGAGGTCAGAAGAGTGTGTTGGAGACCCTGGAACTGGAGTTATGGATGGTTGTCAGCTAGGATTTGAAACCTGGTCTTCTGCAAAGACAGTCAGTGCTCTTAACCACTGAATCCAGCCCAGTCTGTTTAAAAAAATTTTTTTTGTTACACTTATTTGGTGTGAAAGGGTACACATATGGCAGTCAGAGGACAACTTTCAGAAGTCGTATCTTTCCTACTGTGTGGATCCTTGGATCATTTCAGGTCACCAGGCTTGGGGGCTAGCACCTTTAGCCACTGAGCTATCTTAGGGGCCTTGTTTTCTTTTCTTCTTTTTTTTTTTTTTTTTTTTTTTTGGTGTGTGTGTGTGTGTGTATGTAAGACAGGGTCTCCCTGTAGTCCCAGCTGGCCTGGAACTCACTATGTAGACCAGGCTGGCCTTGAACTCACAGAGGTCCACCTGCCTCTGCCTCCCAAGTTCTGGGATTAAAGGGATGTGCAGCACATCCGGCTCTCGTTTTTAAAGTAATTAAAAAAAAAATTTCTATGTATGTTGCTTTTGTGAATTTGTGTACCACGTGCATACAGAAGGCCAGAAGAGGGTATCAGAAGGCCTGGAACTGGAGTTATGGGTGGTTGTGGGCCACCATGTGGATGCTGAGAACCAAACCAGAGTCCTCTGCAGTGCTTTTAACTGCTGAACCATCTCTCTAGACTCTAGTTTTGTTTTGTTTGTTTTTGAGACAGGGGCTTCCTATAGCCCCAGCTGGCCTGCAATTCACTCTGTAGACCAGGCTGGCCTTGAACTCACAGAGATCCGCCTGCCTCTGCCTCCTGAGTGCTGGGATTAAAAGCATGTGCCATGAGGCACAGCTCAGCCCATTTAATTTTCTTGAGACGTTTGGAGGTTCTAGCAGAGGAATGCAGCTACTCCCTTGACTGCAGAGCTGTCCTCTTCTATCCGGGCAGGCTTCCTCTTTGATGGATTTGCAGCTTCAGGAGGGATTACACATGGAGTGGTGGGGGAAGGGGACACCCACCTAGCTAGCTAGATCAGCTAAATCAGTGTAGTGATCAATGGGGTGACAGATGTGGCAATCACATTGTCCCCACATCACTGTTTTGTTTTCTTACGATGACAGATCTCAAGTCAAGCTTGGTGGCTAACACATGTAATCCCAACACTTGGGAGTCTCAGCAGGAAGCTTCTTGTGAATTCAAGCCCAGCTTTGGTTACATAGTGATTTCCAGGCCAGCCTGAGCTAACAAAAATATGGCAGATATTATAGGTAGATTTGTACCTTAAGGAAAACAATCAGATATAGAGAAAAACAGATTATGAGGAGAAAGGGGATAGTGCTAGAAAACCAGTTTAAGGAAGACAAGAAGAAAGCACAGGGGTGAAGAGACAAGCCTGAACAAAGCGTGGAGACAGAAGTCAGCTGAGCACAGAGGTTATGATCCTGGTAAATTTGGTAGACTGCAATAATGGCAGGAGATAAGGACAGTTCTTGCTTTATCTGGTTTTGGTTTTCATGATTCTGGAGACTGAGC